ATCGACGGAGAACACCTGGCCTATCTGCTCTTTGCCGACGATTGCGTCATTTTTGCACATGATGCCCTAGAGCTCCAGACGAAACTTGTGCAACTACAGATGAAATCGAGTGAAATCGGACTTAAAATGAATTTGTCAAGAGCGAAGTGGATGCACAACCAGTTCAATCCTACAGCGACAGTCAAAATAAATGGCGCAACCATCGAAGAAGTGTAAAGCTTTAAATACCTCGGACACCAGTTCAGTTTCACAGAAGGCAGCAGCAGAGAGTACAGCAGGCGCAGGAAGGCCGATTGGTCTGGTCTCAACAAAATCTCAACGCTACTACTAGACCAAGGCCTCCCGATGAAACTGAAAGCGTCCCTTTTCCACTCGACTGTGACACCCGCGCTGTTGTACGGCTGAAGATGAAAGTGTCAAATCCATTGTGATCTGCCTTTGGGCCAGAGAAGAAGATGTTCCGCGATGGATAAGCTATGAAGCCACCTCAAGGAAGGCGGAAGACAACCTATCATACTGAGCATGCATCACTCGTGAAGGTCCGTTCAGAAAGCGAAAAAAAGGTTATAAAACAGGAGATTCGAAAACATAACTTTGCGCTAACGCATCGTTTTATAGTACAAGGCGCACTGAGTTGATTCATACAACATAATGCCTGCAGAAGAAAGAATTCCCAGCGTCTTCTTTTGGGATAGTTAGGGTAAGCGATTCTACTATATGTAATGCGCTAAATGCTCCTGTTGGTTCATCGTTGTGAGTGTCTGGCTGTTTGCTAATGTGTGTGTCTGCTGTGTGCATGTGACGTTGTGTGGGTCGTTGTGTGTGCTGGGTGTATGCCGGTGTGTGTGTTTGACCAGAACTTCACGTGTGCGCGAAATTCGTTTATTTAGACCAAAAGCGATTAAATTCGATAGGGGTACAGGCAGCAGTATCAGAACATTGACGACAGGTGGTAGAAGGTATCTAAACTGGATTCCGCTCTTGGTTGTGTAGTGGTGATGGAGGAGGCAGAGCGTGCGAGAAAGTTTTGAAGTTGGATCTGAGGCGTTTTAATTTTCATAGGTATATAGGCGGCAGCATGGGAATGCTGATAAAAGGTAGCACGACCAAATTACATTTGCAAGAAACGGGGCGCGGACGGAACTCGTTAGCTTGGACCCATGGCGTTCAAATTCAATAGGGGTACAGGTGGCAGAGTGATAAATTGCAACAGGGGTAGAAGATGCCTAAACCAAATCCCACCCGAGGAGAGAGTAGAGCAATTAGAAGGGGAGGAGCTTGCGTAAAATGAACTTGATCTGAGTGAATTGCCGCACTCAATGAACGATAAAGGAAGATTTGAAAAAAGGAAGACCAGTAGTTATGAATGAGGCCGCCAAGGCCGGAAGAGCATTAGTAAAGCTCAAAGGAGCTTCAGATTAACGATAAAGGACAAAGTCTAAAAACGTTAATCAATTCCCTCCAGGGATGCGCCCACGATTTGACTTCCATTCGGAATCGTAGTAACTTTTGAATAGGTATGTGGCTTATACAATAACATGCGATGGCCAGCTGATGTACAAGTCGGTGCTTTTATCACTACAGATGAGCCTAGTGCCAATTTACCGATCGCGGAGAAATGGAAGGCTTGGTTGGCTTGGGTGAATATCGATTCGGGATTTGAACCCGTGACTATACGTATGTGAGGACTTGCCACCACATTGTTTTTGCCCAGCTTCGCCATTTTTAGAACCAAAATGACTTTTGAAGAGCAGTGGAGAAAATCATCTATGACTTCTACTCTGATCTCTTCGAGGGCCGCGTCTACTTGCCTCACTAGCATCTTCAACTCTCCAGGTCCACGGGGACGAAGTTGTGAGTCTTCGCAATAAACAACAATAAAACAATTATGTAGCGCAAACCCCGCCCACTGTGTTCGGACGCCGGCCCTCCCTTTAATTATAAGTGTTCCCATCCTGCCCCTGTACTCCTACCAAATTTGAACGCGCTAGTTCCGAACTGGCAATTTTCGCGCAGCTCTGGCCTAATGTAAGCGAAGTCTGGTTCTACCACTTGCCATAAGTGTTCCCATTCTGCTCCCTATATTGCTACCAAGTTAGAACGTTCTAGGTCCACACGAACAGGAGCTATGAATTTCACACATACACACAGACACACACACACAAACACACAGATTAAATCCATGTGAATAGTAGGTCATTGCGAGACTAATTTGGCACTGACCAACGGACCACGATTGGACACTAGCTTGATGAGCTGAAAATTTCTATCTAGATTCGTATCCCGGACTATAAGCACGGCAATGCGCAAGTTTTCACTGCACCACCTTTTTAAATTGGTGCCTTCTAGTTGCCTTGAGTTATGGATTCAAACCATGAAATTGTGTCATGAGAAGCTCTGTCGAGCTGTTCATCAAGAAAAAAAAAAGAATGGTCATAAACACTATTTGGAGTGTTTGAAATCTACCATAAACGATTTTTTAGGTTTCGTTCTCTACAGGTAACGGCATAAGCCGCCGCTTGAATCCACGCATTCCTGTGTGGAGAGAGTGAATGTGAGGTTGATATCATGCACATCGGCTCAGCCGAAGGCTTCCATTCGAGTCACTGGGAAGTGACTGAGAGGAGACGCGGCACTGCCTCCAAGAAAGAAGCCACTTGTCCATTATGCCAGCGCCTGGCTAGCTACCCGGAGTTAACCCTTTTCTGAGTCAGAGACTGGTAAGCTATTCACCAGTACATGTATGCGGAAAGCAGTGACAAAGTGACCTGAATATCTCTGAACTTGTGGAAGCCATCGACTGCAGCGTTAGTTAGGAGGGCCTGAGAAACTCTTCTAGCGCAGAATGAAGAGCAAGCGCGCTGCCCACATGACAGCGAACTTAATCTTTCTCTGATCTACTATGGCGATTGAAAATGTGGCTCACTTCCAGCTCTAACATTCTTCACTGCCTACGCACCAACATAAGCAACGAAGGAGAAGGGCTGGAAGCGTTCTAGGTCTTCTACTTTTCGAGGTTATGTTGATTTCAACCCGAAATTTGGCCCTAGAAGAACGGCTAAAGAGTTACAGATCTTGATTTCACAAAACGGAATGGAATGAGCAGGGTGAACTACTGTTGAATTTATCCGCCTTACTCATGGTAACTGGCGATTTCAGAGGCCCTCCCATTCGCCATGGACTTGGAAATCATTCGCAGGACAAATTCATAATAAAATGGATAGCATTAATTGTGCCCCCTAACCGAGTCGCTGTTGCTGAACGGAAGCATCGCCTTCTCCGAACTATATATTGCATTCCAGTGTCGGGGAAACCTGCGAAGTTCAAGAAACGAAGCCACAAGACTATCATCAACTAAGATCGCGTCACTTCCTCGCTGGTTTTCGGAAAATTTCGTAATCGGCAATATTGATGATAAAAACTACTATTGCCATCGTTAAGATGGTGGTAGGGAAGCAGTGTGCCCACAAGTTGTGAAAAGACGTCTTCTTTCAAGGAATCTCGGGCTGTTACCCCAGTTTGGATTCGCTCGAGCTCGAGCAGCAAGTGAGCATAAAGTAACCCCAAAACTTGCGTGCTCAAAGAAGCGATGAATTCAGATTGAAATGGAAGGGCAGCAGTTGTGGTTAAAGCCACTGAGACTGAGGGTTCAGTATGCATAACATTTGTCAATTCGAAGAAAGCCTGTGATACCCTCGAGACTGAAGTACCTGAAGCTTCAGGCAACCAAAGAGCTCCTACCAGCAAATAAGGGTGCTTTGTGAGCTTCATATCATTTTCACGAGGAGGATTTTACCATTTCACAAGAATTTGTTGTCAACGTGAAGAGTGGGGCTTTTAGCACGGCACCATCTCGCTCAAACTTTTTAGTGTCGCTCTCGAAAACACGTCGCGTTATTTGGAGTGGGAAGTCCCAGGAGTGAAGGGTCCGATATTCCTTCACATTCGTCGTCGACATTTTGCTTATAACAGCGAATATCGAGCAGTCGAAACGAATGCTGGCCGAGTTTGGTAGCGCTCGTGGAAAGATTGGCTTACGAATATGCCTATTGAAAATGATGTTCATGAAAAGGGGCGTGTGAGCACCTTCAACGCGCCAAACGAAGCAAATTATATTTGGATCTTCGAGCTACCTGTATTAAGGTCGAGAATTCATCTAAAACGACTTATCTCTGGAGCTAAGTATAAGTAAAGGTTTGGCGTGAGGAGCATTCCAATTTCATTTAGGCACATCCGGTCCCTCGTTACCTCCACTGGAATGGGGTCCTTCTTGCTTTGACATCGTCTACCACAAAAACATCGAGTCTCCGTGAGTAGGATGAGCATGCAGCGGTGTTGTTCCACGTAATACAGGGACAGGGGGAAGTTGGGAATCTCCTAAAGCCCGCAAGTACAGGGGAAATTCGGACTTAACGGTTCTGTAAACGAAGATCAGTGACGTCGTTGCTGAAGCCAAAAATCGAAGACTAGGTGGGTCGTACACGTTAAGCGGTGGTGTGATGACCGTTGGACCAGGGCGGTTACTGACTAGATCCCTCTGGACATTAAACGAACGTCAGGACGCCAACCAGCACGGTATTCAGACTTTTTCACGAGAGCTTTGAGTGCAGAGGATATTTCCCAAACAACACTTTGGCTACATGGGAAGTTTGCAGAGATGGTACGCAGATTCGAGATCAGCTATGAAAATACACACGGCTCTGTACATGCCATTGGCAATGGTCACTGCAACGCGATGACCTTAGTTTGAAAGACAGCATAAACATCGAATACTTTTTAATAAGCTCAGGGCCTGTGAATGTTCCAGATTTTGCACCTATTCTAGAATCTTCTACTATTCCGAAATTTGTCTTATTGTAGATGATACAGTCTATCTACTTCTTAATTTCTGAAAAGGAGCTTCCAGATACTTTATACCAGGTTTTAGTACTAGGTTTTATGGGATATAATTCGTTAGAGGGTTACTTCGGCAAAAATTTCCAACAAAGAACCACTTTTTAAGAAACTTCAAAAAAAGATTACATGCGCACAATTTAGGTGATGGAACAGAGCTTTCTATGGAGGGCCGTGTAGTAGGACTACGCTCGATATTTCAAGGGCCCGTTCTCTTTTCTAACACATTCATGAATTCAGGTTAAGAAACTTTATTTACTTTGTTAACGTACTGAATGAAGATTCTTTTCTAAGCACTGATGGGTTTTCTGACAAGTTACAGGCAACATGATCTCGCCACACCTTGCTGCTGCTGTCGCCCTGTCAATGAACCACCGTATGACAAACATAAGGTTTGTAATTGAAATCCCTTCTTAGAGTATCTTTTTAACTGGCGCAAAAAAATATGAAATATCATATTTTTCTAGGAAGGGGTTCCTGTGTGATGTATACTCAGTCATTAAAAGTATTGATTAGGAAACATACCATGTTAACCAGAAGTTGGGACGTCTTTTTCCCAAAGTGTTTCGACTTTTGAACTTTTTCCTAACATTATTAATGAAGGGCGTTATTTAGGACTAATTCATTAGCCGAAACAACGTTATCCACTTCTTCCTTTTCGAAACTCTCGCCTGAGTCGCCTTTAGCAGGTTCCTCTCCAACAATGAGCTGCGCAGTATGTGGTGATGTCAGCAGCGGGAAACACTACGGTATTTTTCATTTCCTACGTTTTACTGCTTCGGTTTAGTTGGTGAATTGAACCACACGGTTTTTAAATTTTAATGATCTTGAGCCAACCGTTTTCAAAACTACTGCTCTTCTGGGCTTCTTCTTCCGTTGATCACGCACCTCCGCAGAGGCTGCATATTCGTTGGCTTTTTCAATTCTTTCTATCAACCGCCGCTTTCTCCTGCTGTAATTTGTTTTCATCCTATTTCATCGCGATTACGTCCGGCTCCCCTCTTCCTTGAGGCTTCTCTTTGTTGCTTTCCTCAGGCCCCGAAATTCATTGTCTCCTTATCGGATACTTGTCGCCTTCTCAGCACGTGTTCGTAAGATTGCGTCCCATCTTCAGATAGACAGGTGCTGTTTACATGACAATTCTGATGTCCTGGTCTCTGACTTTATCCAACTGCATACCTATTCGTGCATCCTACTTTTAGCGTAGTGAATTCTCTCTCATGATCTTCATTCACGAAGCGGCACAGCTGCTGTAGAACATCGTGAGCCTCACCCACTGCCTGGTACATCTTTTCTTTTCTTTGATTTTGAGCAATGACTGTTGCAGAGAATACCGGGGGATTTCATTTCATACATACCGCGTTCTTTTGGGGCTTTACAAACTGGTCCACGCCTATTAGAGGGCTAGGTTACTCCTTAGCTACGAGGGAAATCCTACACCCATCCGGAGGCTTTTCAAGGCTGTCCGCCCTGTAGTTCTTCTCTGATTGCGACCATCAGAGAAGAACCACAGGACCTTGATATTGACATCAGGATGAGGAGAAAGATGTCTCGCTCTGATCGCGGAAAAGGACGCCGAACAACTGAAGCGGAAAGCTGTAACCGTCGTTTTGCCCTTCGAACATGCATGATTGTTTTAAAATACGGAAGAATTAAAGGAGAATCTGTTTAGCAGCTGTCCGATCAATGTGCAAATAATATAGCACCATCGCTTGAGAGAGAAAGACAATTTTCTTGGTGGAGGAGATTCGGCACGAGCGCAAGTCGTGAGCTGTGAAGACTTCTTCAACTCTTCTTCCCAAAGTTCGCTGCTGGTATTCACCGTTGCATGAGTTGTAAGCCCAGAACTCGATACAACATTTCTCTCTCATTCATTCATTAGTCGTGACGTGTAGCGGACCGTTCAATATTGTTGCTCCAGTATCAATCTGTAATCAGAAAGGGTGCAGCGATCGGTTTATTGTATGCTGAAGATGTAGAACCTGCTGACACTGTACCTGGGTATCGAAGAATCGAAAACTGATTATACAGTTTGAATACTGTCCTCAGCAATTTCCATGGGCTCGAGAGAGAACTGATTCGAATAACTGAAAGAGAAGGAAAATCCCTGAAACATCGCCACCATTGTGAATCTTTTGATTTCGGCGATTTCCTTTACAGATCTAACCGATAAACTTTCCTATAAAAGAAACCATAAGACTTGTGGATGATGAGTTGAAGTGTCGAGTTTCTGGAAGATTGAGTTATTAAAGTGATGTTGTTGTTTTCAAGTATTAGAGCAATTTCCTTTGATTTTTCGTCTTTCCCTTGCATATGAGGTTTTGACGGCTAATCAATTCACAGCCCTCAAATGTTAGAGAAGGTTGTCAAGGAGCCTGCCACCATTTTAGTAATCAGCCGACTTGTATACAACTTGAAGATTTTAAGGTGCCGATGTCCGACCTTCTTACAAGAGAATCTGGATGGCGTCCAGTACTTGAAACTGTTCATTCCCAACAGCCTCGGAGCAGCCACAATTGTTACAGGAATTTATCAGCAAATTTCAGTATTCCTATTCCAAAAACCGTTAACAATGGTGATGATGACCATTTATATTTCTTGAGATTGGGAGAGTTAATCAGGAAATTCCCATGTTTTAATGGAACTTCTAACGGTCACCTCCACATGTCAAGGAGTTGACAATCTGTCTACGAAGATGAAAGTTTCAAATGGGGTTCACCTTCCAAGCGCTTTTAGTTTGCACGAACTTGCTCTAGCAAGTACTGCAAGTGTAAATGATATCTGAAGTCTGTCGCTCTCAAATGTGCAACCAACCGTTCAGCCACCATGGAGGAGGCCAGTGTTGCTTCATCCTAGGTTGAGCTGGGTTATACTCACCGTCACCCACGGAATGGCTGCACATTTTTCTTTTGAGAAAGTTTCATAACAACATAATTTTTTGTTATTATTTGAAAAAGCTCCTCAGTTCAGATATCATTCCACTTGCGGTACTTGTTAAAGGCAGAGCAGCTTAGCAAGTTAATTGTTTGATGGCCTGTTTTATAACGACGAGAACGCAGGAGTCATCAATGATCTCAAATTTGAGCTCAGTGCAGCAGTGTAGATCAAAGTATCCTAAGGGAAAACTCAATTAAGTATCTTAAACTGTGACAAAAACTCTACTGCAATGAAGTTCTGTACTTACAAGGAAGGTCTTTCAGGGCGTGGGACGTTTTTTGAAAATGGTTTTTGCATGATGTAGGGGCACGAGCCCTGAGTACAGAGCTGTGGTCCATTTCCGCTAAATGGCCTTCTGAGTACCAAAAAAGGAGTGAAAATGATTTGTCAGAAATTGTCGTTTTAACCCACTAAGCGTCGTTTAATTCATTTATGGCGTCGACTGTCCGCACAGTAGAGGGCGCTAGTGGACTGCGCATTGAAAATAACGTGAACGGTAGCCAAAAAAGGGAGCCACATATTGAAAAGTGCGGGGAAGTTCCATATGTGCTCTCCACGGTTGAGCTGCTGGCAGCGACGGATGGTGTACTGGAGAGCGACGTGGACCTCGAGTTGGGATGATTAGGGTGGTTCGATGGTTTTGATCCTGGAGGCGTTGTCTCTTTTGCATTTCATGCTGCCATCTGCAGATTGGCTCCATATTGCACCAGGGCCAAAGCAAGTGCCTGACAGTTCATGACCAGGACCAGCGATAACCGGCTAGCAATGACGTGGGGCCATGGTGATGAGTATGGGCCCAATTCCGATGGGGGGCCAGTCCCGGCTTCCCCGTTTTGTTGATGAGACCCGGATGGGCAGCTAGAGTTGAGAGAGGGCAGTCATACAGACTCGGTAAGGGCAATGATAGCGAAATAATGGGAGAAATCATGTTACATCACGGTGGAGCATACCTGTTAAGGCCAAAAGCCTTTTTTGCTATGGTCAACTTGCAGGTGCAAGGCTGGCCAGGGAAGGTATGAAGACGTTTTGACACCTCATTGCGTTGGCTGTTCTTCGAAGCAAATGAATATGAAAATTCGATGTGGTATGTAATGTAAATCAAAAGCTTGCCGCTTCGAAGGAATGGTCGACTCGAGCCAGTCAGGCACATGCTTTGGCCCTGGTGCAGTATGGAGCCAATCTGGAGGTGACAGCATAAAATGCAAAAATGGCAACGCCTCGAGGATCCGAACCATTAACCCAGCCTATTCATTCGAACTCGAGGTTCGCTTTCCAGTACACCATCCGTCGCTGCCAGCAGCTCAACCGTGGAGAGCACTTTTCAATATGTGGCTCCCTTTTTTGGCTACTGTTTACGTTATTTTCAATGCGCGGTCCGCAGTCCGGAACAGATTTTGAATGCGAGTTTATGATAATTGAGTCTCACAGATAATCCTCCTCCTCAAACTCGAGAAGCGCTGCTTTTGATAACGTAAGTGCTTAGAGACTAATTTACCACAACGTGCAAAGCCATATGGCGGTTGACAGAAACTGACAGAGAGATGGTATTCAGATAGACAACCTCTTGCAGTTATCGCCTGCATTGCTGTACTCTTTCGTTTAATTAAATGGCGAGGGGCAACTGAGACGCAAGCTATGAAAGTACGCTATGCAGTCTTTCCGGCTGTTCGTTGAATTTTTTCCAACAAATAGTGTTGTCAGTGTGCTAGTTCTTGTAGATTATCATTTAGCGCATTGTATCGAATTCATTGCCTTCGTGCTCTTCCGAGCGGTGTTTCAAGACTGTCTGAGAAGGCTTCATCTACAGCTCGCTCATACCCGATATTTTGAGCGATTCACCAGTCTATACTTTGCGGCAGGTTGACCCCTTCACCCTGTAGATTGCTCCTCGTCTGTGCAATCTCTATCCCTTGATTAGTACTGCACGCGGTCAAGACTATTATTGTCTCCTGCTAGTCAAAACAACATCATCAACTAAATCAGATCATGCAATGCTGCAATGACCTTATTTGACGTAAATGGTCGCTTGAAATGAACAATATTCTCACGGTTTTCCTAGAACGGCTACTGCGTACCTGATCTGCAGTGCCCCACAATCATCCAGCTATATAATTTGCAATCATGGTCATACGCTAGATTACCATTCTCGCTCTTACCATTTCACACCGCTTGTACAAGCTTCAGCCGCTATTCTGTGCATGTTCTGAAAAGCTCAACTTCTCACAACTCCAGCAAATACGACTCGTTATCTTCGAGCTGTTTTATCGTATCGACGTCATCCCTCACTGTGCACTTAGGAACGGTATCCAACTTACCGTATTCACACGAAAAAGACTTTTGGGAGAAGCCTTTTTGATGTTGTTTGTATACTGTGATTTTCGGCTCAGAGTGCTGAAAAATTCATTCATTACGAGCTAATTTCGTGTAATCGAGCAGCAGTAATCGATTTATTGTCAGAAATTATTGGAAACGACTGTGATTGCTATTCTTCTGTAGTGTCTCGAAACAGAGAAAGAAAGCGCTCAGATCTAATGACGAGCTTTCTGCCATAAGATAGCACCTTCCTATGTTTTTGAAAATTTACGACCCAGATATCTTGATCGAGATGTAAACATTGTTTATAACAAAGATCATAATTTTCCTATTATGCACGCCCGGCACTTTGGAGAGCACTTCAATACCTTCGGTTCTACTAATCTTCACCAGGAGCTCAGTCATAAGATATTGAACCCCTTTTCATTTCCGCTGCATGTTTCTTTATTTCTACATGGACACAAGCAAATAAAAAGATCCGTCGGTGTTGTGCAAGTGTGGTTCTTCATATCGGAGAAGTGAGCCGGAGTTTCCATCAACGAACCGTTAGTTACGGTCCTATGGTCCTCCCTTTTAACAAATAATAGGTCGTATTGTGTAGGCTTCAACTGAGAATTCGTACATGTTAAACAACTGATGAGTCATGATAAGAGTGAAATTTCTGCACGGAGTAGGATCCAACCCGAACAGTTAGACTACATTTGTATAATTTGTTGATTTTCTTATGCGGCTTCAACTCGGAGACACTTCTACTTGCATTTGGTAAGTTAGCCAGGTATTCAAAGAACATACTCACATCTATGAAGAATGTGAGGCATTGTGGCCATATGAGTAGTACCGAGAGAGTGATGAGGCTTAGCATCCGTCGGATAGATTGGACGCAGGAGGATGACACGAGTTCGACGCTTTGTAGGCGGTGCAGTGCTACTCAATAGGATTTTTGGTCTGCAATTCTGTGAGGATCCTGTTACTGTCTCTAGGGCTATCGACTGTGACAGTTGGACGCGTGTGTTCTGGTAAACAAATCGCTATGATATGAAAGTGTAGGAATTCATCCCTGTTGTGGAAGTCTCAGTCATCCCAACTACTAAATTTTCCAGGGATATTAGCATGCAATGGTTGCTCAGGATTTTTCAAGAGATCTGTGCGGCGACGGCTCATCTACAGGTAAGCATCAGCCCACGTATGTTGAAAATAATGAATAGAACCCGTTGGATTCTATCGTTCCTATTTTTCATCCTCCTCAATAGGATTGCCCTCAGTCAGCAGCACATCAGCACAGTATTTGCAAAAACAAGTTTAGATGCCATGCTGGAACAGGGAACTGTGTTGTGGACAAAGCTCACAGGAATCAATGCCAAGCATGTCGGCTGAAAAAATGTCTTAGAAAAGGAATGAACAAAGACGGTTTGTTAAGGTTTAGATGATTAAAATAGCTACAACGAAAGACAAATATATCCATGTACTTCAACTGAAAGTTGAACTGAGAGATAATTTGGAAAATCATGCATGTTAAGTGGATTCCGGCTTGCCTGTTGTCCTTTGACAGCAACTTTCAGTGTGGCGGCTGCGGTTGAGAAGATAAAATCACAGTCTTCACACCTTAAAACGATCACGGTTCACTAACAGATGACTCACTTCCCGTATTTTCACCTACTTCATCGCATGTTGTTACTCTTGAAGTTCGTATGTGCAAGGACAAAAATGGTCATGTAGAGAAGAGAAAAGAATATAGGAGCAGATGTGTATCCACAAACAAGTATCAGCTCATCATTTACTAGCGTAATGCCGCATGGGAGAGTAATAATGCAACTCTTCAAGGTCGTCTCGTCAACCTTGATAGCAACTGCGGGGCGGTCCCAAAAGTTGCATATTAGGTAAAATGCTCTTTCTCACTCTTACTCAATATTGTGAACTGAAAACTCGCAGTACTGATACTTTCTTACTCTAAATTCTTTACTAGCGTCGTTTTTGTGTTTGAAATGGGTGGCCCAGCGTTTACTGCGCGACGAAAATTTCCGTCGGTGTGACACTGGAATTATTTGTGGTAAAGCAAAATTTTTAGTAAAGACCTGTAGTGCCATTTGTAGTTTGCAAAGAATTCGGAGCTAAAAAAATCATGATTCCCGAAGCTGGGACCAGTTTCCCATTAATTATATGAACGTTATTTATTTTCCTCATTTTCCCTCAGCATCTGCATCAAGTGACTACAGAATTGCGAGCGATGCTCTATTGGAACAAAATCAAAGCGCTACTTCATGCTGTCACACAATCACACAAATTCCACTTTTTTATATTTCGTCATGTGTCACATCCAAGACGGAAGGGATGGGCATCTGGAACACAGGTTCATTGAATACGGAAACCATGTCTTGTTCAGTCAAAATTAGAGTTTACCCCTGCAACAAAACAGGAAAAACCACGCGTAATGGGAGTGGTTTGGACAAGGCTCTCTCACTTCAGTATTAGTGCACTCCTAATGGACATTGCTCACAATCACCTATGCCCTATCGTGGTGTCATTCATCGATTTCTCCTAAGGAACACCAGTAACGTCCCTATTCGTCCCTGTCGCAAGCCAAAGTGGTCCTCGCTCGAGGGATACGAAGCCACGAAGCACCATTCTTTTCGTTCAAAGGTCCCTCAAAGTAGTCTGACCGTCGCGCAGGCGACAATATTGATGCTTATTTGTTTCCAGAGCAACTTAGTAACAGACCCAGTCCAATGGTCATCACAAAATCGCACAACGTGTCAGGCTCACCTGGTCACCGATTCCATTGCGTAGGCAACTGCATCCCAGATCTTCGTTTGCATGGCTGTCCTTTATCTGATATCTGCCAGTCCTAATGAGCACGACTAGGATGAAACGTTTGTTAATTACAGGCAAGAGGCAGATTGGGCAATAATTGCCAATATCGTCCTGATGTTCATTCTTAGCTGCGTAGTCTTGCTACTTTACCACAACGTGAACACTTTGCAATCTGACAAGTACCACGTAATCAGCTCAGCCACAGTTCTGATGAATAGTGGACGGCTTCTGGGTGATCGGTCTAACTTGGCACTTTACACAGCTTCACCGACGTTATGGCATGCCGAATTTCTGAGGAAGGACTTAAGAGACGGCATATCCATCTCATAGTAGTGAGGCATACATGGCTGTAGAAGAGATCCGAGTAGAAGGCGTGGATGACCTTTTCCATGCACACTCAAGATGCAGCTATTACGTTAGGCCGGCAAAGGGAAGTCGTCTTGGTCTTGTAATTAGCGGAGCTTCGGCGAGCTTCGCGAATGCTTTCTGAAACCAAGGACTGCGGCTCTTTTTCCTTGAAAATTTTCCATTGCCGCTTTTTCGCATAGCTTCGCTGATTCGGACGTTTGTCGTTGATTGCTTATAACTTAGAAGATTTCACACCGGCGTATCAGTTAGAGGGTCTTGTAGGGTAGTGACCTGGCTACTTGTAATTCCTGCTTTCTTAGCAATATCGTGAAGATGTTCGACGGCGGTTATATCCATCATTCCGTTATCAATTTTGTCGAGAACGGAACCCACCCGGATACTCGTCGAAGGCATCGTCTTCTCAACATTTCCTCCACACACTAGAAAACGGATTCTAGCGCAAAGAAGACCATTTTCCGATCCTTTATGAAATTTCGGATCAGCAGCGACGCCAGACAGACCGAAGTTTTGGTTGAATCTTGTGTGATCTATTCTCTGCTCAATCTGTACCATTCTGTGAGCCCTGATGTTCAGGGCTCACAGAATGGTACAGATTGAATAGAGAGCTCACCAACCGTTTATCTGAAGCCAATTTGGCCTTGAAATCACCAGCCATGATCTTGAGGAGAGTGTGGTTCTCTCCTCTCAGTAGAGCATTTATAGATCCTTAGAAATCGCTGTGAGCTCCTCAGCCTTCTTCTTCGTAGCTTAATGTTGGTGCATGGGCCACGAAGTTTTTTCGAGCTGGAGATAGCCACATCTTCCTATCCGCAGAAACATTGGCTTCATTCGGGTTGTCAAGCTTTGGTAGGAATCGATGTTTATGGCCAAGTGCATATTGACATAAACACCTACGCTATCGACGCTTCTTCTGTCGCATGTTCCAAGAACAGTTCCTTTTCAGTCTCGAAAACAGCGTGCAGTGAGCGATGCTTTATCGTCTCGTTCAGTCCGATTACTCGCACTTGATTTTGTTAGCTTACATCATCAGATCTTTGATACGCGCTTCCGAAGGCAAGGGTTCTTACGTCGGAGGTACAGATCGTCATTGAAGTCCTCTTTTGGGCAGCCTGCTATGGCCTAGAGATTTCAGCAGCTTTTCCTAAATGGCTCCATTCAACGCTGCCGTTCAAAGGGCTTCCGAGGGAAATGATACCCATTTCTGTAATGTCACTGTTTTTTGCATACGGGTACCCACGAGTTGCTAGCCAGGCTTTTACGTGAATGCTACTCACAATAGAGCAATTGTTCTATGCTAGAATTAAGCCTTGTAATAATTTCGTTGAAGGGCTCCAATTGAGTAGAAAGCGAAGCATGTGGCTGGCCAAACTAAGAGGACTGAGAAGGAACTTAGAGATGTGCGAATAGTTCGATCCTCTCCAAGTAGTTGGCGTCTCGAACAGGATCTGAATTTCAACCTTGAAAGACCTGCGATGCAGCATGCGGATGATTCGGCATGGTCAACCTCCTTCCACTTCATCAGCTGCTTCATATTGGTGTGCATGGTGACCAATTCTGTTCCAATTTTAGTCAGCTATGTTTGAGAGTTGAAAAATGTTGTTCGATATACAACGCGTACCAAAAAACCGCTGAAACCGCAGGATCCGTCTCTGAGGATTGCTGGAAGACTACTATAGCTTTCTTTCCGTGTTTTTCAAAGGAGTTAGGCTGAATGGATTATACCGTTTCACAAAAAGCTAAGTTTCTTTGCTTTTTTTCTGTTGTTGCCAAAGTTTAGTGAACTCCCAAACTAATTTGATTTTGGCCCTCATATCCAGATCTTTTATTGTTGAACGTCTTTTCATTTGTTTCACTATTTTGCCGGATGACGGTAGACTCTTCTTTGATTCAAACACTTGCATATAAAAGCTTTACACGTGGCTGGATCCCGTTACCGAAAAATAGCTTATCGACTTGGTTGTCCAACATATGTCGGAAGATTTATTCAAAGTCCTGATGCCTTAGGGGTCGTTCAAAGGGTTCACGCGCTCAGGCAATAAAGGAAATCTATGAGGTCTTGGTTTTTTTACACTGGAGCGAAAATCATGCTCAAATGAATCTATTTTCAAAAATGATGTTCATGACGTCTCATCCAATTAAATAAGCATCCAACATAACGGATCACTCATCACAAGCATGCATTGCTGGAATCCGCGGTTACATTATGCTGAGTGCTGAAGTAGTGGCGCATATTACTATCCAATCATGTCATTTCACTGATGCTATGAGGTCTGAATTGATAGTACGGATGGATTTCGCTTGCTTCTCTCAAAGAGGCCTCCGCTGCTGGTTTTCTCGAGAAAATTTTCGAAGCAGATTCAATAATTGTCTGAGGTGGTCACATTACATGTTGCCGAAAGAAATAGCAGGAAAATCTGCTGTTCAGGCTGTACATCTTCCCATTCCTGAGATTCAGTAGTGAAAAGTGTGCGATGCATAACGCATATTTTGCAGCAGTGCAATGCTGCGGTCCATGTCTCGCTTTCTACTATGGGATGTTGTTGAAACCGCGAACTTGCCAGCATATTTCCTTGACTGCCGCCCCATCAAAACTTGTGGGAAGGAAGGGAGAGGGATTGAGTTTGCCGTATTTATCTCAACGACCAGCAGTACGTAGCTCAGGTTAGCTGAAGGCTGCAACATGCCTCGAGACAGCAAGGAAACTATTGCCAATGTTGTCAGGAGCATGCCAAACGAAAGGTTTGAGCTAATCAGGAACCTCGCCGTATCAGTCAGTTTCTAATCTCATTCATATTTCTTTTTTTGTGATGTGTTTATAAACTTTTCGTATTAACTTTTTTTTCATCCATGAAAAATTAAGTATCCTGTCAATTGTTGAGAGGTTAAGTAATCGTAGAAACTTGCACATGAAAACTTGGGTGGTAGGGAGTATGGCGCGGAAATTGAAAGTTTTTCTCGTGGCAACATTTTTGATTTGTCCATCAACATCAACACACACTCTAAGTCATCACGTCTTAACTAATCTTTTTTATTTATTTATGTATTTGTTCCTTTACTTACTGTGCGTCGACGAGGAGCACTTCATTCGATAATCCATTCTTCATAATTCGAGCAAGGCTTCATAGTTTTTTTCGAATTCTGAACCTTGTGGATGGGAATTTGATTGGATTTGATGGAGTATCCCGAGTAAAACTTGTTTTACTACAGCGAGTGGGACTCGGTATATAGCTACGCATATCTCCGATAGCTTGAATTTTTCAATTCTATTCGCTTTTTCATTATTTGATCACCAAATATCCTTGATGGGCTAGCAGCTTCTCTATTGCCCCGTCCCATCTATATCCCAGCCGGCATTACGTGTTGTTGTGAGATTTTTTCGGAAGGTGACTCTGTAATGCGAACACTTTTGAGTTCCAGACATGAATGTCACTCCTCTATTTCGCGGACATTTTCTTCTACTTGAGTGGAAGCAGATCATCTCCTTTCAGTGACCAACTGTTTGGCCCAGTATTCCCGAACGTCAAACCAACATCGTGGGCCAGCTATGCTATTCAGTCGGTTCCTTCACTGTGTTCTGGTGCACACGTTCTCTCCCATGATATGCGGATTACGGGAATTCGAACACGGATCTCGAACTAGAGTATGCTGCAAAAGCCGGCGTGATCACGAGGAAACAGTCACGTCCAAAACTGAACAGGATTTCTCTCCTGAGGGGGATTGTTAACTTTCGCAGAAGTTTCGCAACAATACCGTAGTGGCAGGCGTGGTTTAAAAAGCAGATTGCAATAACGAGGTTGACGAGCCATAAAAAATCTATAGTGAGGGGTCGATTAGGTAGGTATTGAGAAAGTAACTATGATGGAAAAGTTTGAACGATAGTAAAGACCTGAATAGTTTCATGACGACCCCATTGATTGCAGTAGAGCAAAATCCTTCGAGAATGTGTAATCTGATTACTGTCACGTCCACTACAAGATTTGGTTTACCTACGAATCATGTGAAACCCAATCTGAATGGGCAGTTCTAATCAACTATTCAACCTTTACTGAATTTTAGAAGAGATTTTTGGGGACGTGTTTGTGTGGAGTGCGTAATGAAACTAGTGCGTGAACACATCGAAAATTGCTGAATTGAAAGAAACTTTGACCAAAAATGCAATTCTTGTGCTAGTTGGTCGCAGTAAAAAGGAGACAGCCGTTGAGAAAATTTGGGCATATATGCATTAATATAAAACATGTTTAAAACTTGCAAGTGCTCTGAACACCTAAAGTACTCGCCGTAAAAACTCGAAAATTCACGCGAATACCGCGAACTCGCGTCTTTTCCGTCTTTTCTCCATGAATCGCTCTAGAATAGAATAATCGAGTAGCCAGCAATTAAGCTCTACAAGCAGATAGAACAAGATCTTTGAACTCTGCCCATCGAGCTCTACAAGCAGATACCCTTAGGCCTTGAAAAGGCTCTGTTTCGGATTGCGCCATGCACCTGAGTTTCATCCGAAAAGTGATCGCAGCAGTGATGGGGTGCACGTTTTAGTGCTTGTAAGGGCTTATTGGTCCTTAATGTTAACAATAATGTGTTTAGAATTCGCTCTGGATTGCGCCACGTAACTTTACTCAGTACAATGTGAAAATCATTGATCGGTTTTGTTCATTCTCCATCGTTCATTTTTACTGTGGAGGCTGTAGATGACTGCATCAACAGTTCCTGCTCTCACACTCCTCCTTACAGGCTCCATTGAGAGTATGACAACAATTTACGACAAAATAACTGAGTCGATTTTTTTGACCTTTTCCAAACTCTGAAGTAATTTTTCTCCGAGATCTGAGTAGGTGGTGTGGAGGCGCTGTGCTATCGCAGACAACTCTTTGTTTACTGCAAGACTGTTGTGGCATACCTTATCATAAATCGAGATTTCTCCATTGGTGTGGCTCCAAACTTCAAACTTCATCAGGTCCAAATCATTGAACTAAGTTTTTTCCCCTTTCCGTTGGCCTTTTTGCAGTTAAGTTACACAGTGTTAAAAATGCTATCGAATGATGTGTGGGTCAACCCGTGATGGAACTCTCCCTTCATAACCATTCTCTGCCCTATGCGTGGCCTGAGCGGTCTCTTGCTGGGCATGTTTGGGGACTCATGTGACCGGGTACTGTAGTGGCGCGGGGTTTCAATGGTGGTTTTGAGGAGCTTTGACTCGTAAGCGGCGGGGTCCCGTATTGGTGGGAACTGAAAGCAGTTTTGGTTAATGACTACTTGAAGGGGATCTGGATAGGCAGGCGGGTGGGTACTGTGGTGGCGAGAAGTTGGGGACATAATAATAATTATTTTAATGGGGGTTTCAGATGTTCGAACTGCAGGTGGCGGGATACTGAAGTGGCGAGAAGAGGGGGTTGGTTCTAATGATGATTACTGATGATTATTCGAGTGAGTGGTAAGATCTGCAGGAGACGGTATACTGTAGTGGCGGGAAAGTGGGGCAGTTTGAATGGGAATTTTGGTTCGAAGTTCGTTCGTTCGAAGAAGTTCGAAGTTTGGGGCCATACCAAGGGAGAAATCATGATCTATGATAAAGTTTGTCATAACAGTCTTGCAGAAAACCAACAGTTGTTTGCGTGAGTTTTGAGTTCTTACGACGAGTACTGTATCTACAACGAAGTCTCGCGTGTTTTCTTTGTATGAGACGGCTTTGACTCTTTATATGTACAAAGCTATCCGGAAAGACACGTCTGAAAATTTGTAGCAAGCATACGAGAGCTGGTCAACCTCCAAATTTCATTTAGCGCACGGCTGATATAAAGGCAGAGATGGAAGAATGTCATCGAAAGCTTCGCTTTAACCTGAAGTTTGCTAGAATTGGCAGCTTGACCACACCTCCCTGCTCTATCTAAAAATCCTCACCATCCTCGCTTCTGAAGCGGGAATAATGTTCTCATTCGACGTGGAGGATTTGTGATGTCAACATGTTCATCGGTATTATGTTTACCTCATATATGAACCTGTAGATTCAATCTTTGATTTACGTAATTTACTTTGAGGAAGATTGTATACAATCTGCAAACAATTCTTCTAGCGATGAGAAATCTACTAAATTTTAATATATTGGTTCTAGGAAGAAAGGAGGGAATCGCGTCAAGTAGGCTGCATATTGTGAAATGAGAAAATTTTGTGCAAATTGCTGTCATTATACTTCAAGATCACTTGGGCTACGCATGCTAGAGCGTGTACCACATGTCCACGACCGCTTATCTACGTGTGACTCGAAAAAATCGTGAAAACATTCTTCTTTTTCCAAGATCATGCAATACAGCTTCCATTCAGATATAACTTCTCGAAGTATTGCGTCATCAGTGGGGAGCTTTAAAGTTAGGGATTCTTCCGAGGGGTGTACGCTGCAAAACCCGCCAAAATACGAGGAAGTTGATTGCTGATTTGTTTGTATTGTATTGTATTTTCAACTAAGATAAGAAGAGTCTACCCCTAATGAACACAAGTGTGTCCAGATCAGATTCGAAAGCCCTATAGGCTTCTTGATGAGAAGAAGTTGGAGAGAAAAAATGACGTGACGTGCGCTACTTGCGAGCGGCATGCGCTTTGACAAACCTTTTCATGACTAAATTGTGTTTGGTGTGGAAGAAATGTTGAGACCTCGAAGCAAACATATATTCAACATCTCGAAGGCTGAAGTCGCTGAGAAGAGTTGTATCGCCTCTCATCGCCATTTTTCCTCTTTGATGATAATTTTGCTAGAAATTCTAACACCAGAGCGATACCGCAAATTTTGGTCAAAAAAAGTACAAAATTTGATCCAAAACTCTTTAAGTACTTTTTGAAAGGGTGCAGAAAGGGGGTCGAAGATTTTTTCTGGATACGATCTAAAAATCGCAGCGCACCTGCTCAAGAATGGGAAAGGATACGACTGGGCTGAGGGAATGTTCGTGACTTTTTCCCAGTCCCAGCTCCCAATCCTCCTACGAATTTCCCAGACCACAATGTGATGGGTTGCTGGATATAGTTTATACTGGAGAGGAGGGCCTACGCTTCATATCGCAACACTGCTGCTGCTCCTGAGAAACGGCTGAAAAATCCCAGGCCGGAGTTTCTCAAGAAGCTCTGCGTGCTGCCGTCGATGAGTAGCCGAAGCATCTCTGAGCTATAACTAGTACAGGAGACGGTTATATAAGATGACCGTGTGTATATTTCGTAGATGTGATGCATAGTAAATAGCTAACACGAATTCATTGTTAGTCAATATGAACTGCGGTTTTTGTAGCCTAATTCTTTTGATACAGTATTGATGGCGCACCCTGTACTTGTAGAAAGCCAATTATACTTTGGCTTTCTACAAGTACAGGGTGCGAAACTCAAAGAGGGAACTTGATGGCAAGAATGTGAATGCAGCGTCGTGATTTGATATGTACTTTTCTCACCCATAACATTTAATTTACTCTGGAGAACTGCCCTTGATGTTCGTAACAAATTGTTAACATATAAGATTTTTTTACTCTACTCACCAATTTACAGCTGTACAGAATGAACGACAACCACGAAATACGGCCACCATACGTCCAGCAACTGATATGGACCACCGTCACTTTTTACGGTATGGTGAAAACTTGTAATTGAAGTCTCATTTCACTTCAATGCCGAAGTCGACTTGTAGGTACGAAATTCCAGAGAACATATTGGGACTGTCTCAGTGGTATCATCCCACCCAGAACTACCACCTCGTGAAGAGTCACCACTGAGTACTGCCGGCGCTGGAAGAACAGGGAAAGATAAGGTGTCTTTTATCGTCCCTACTCTCATTGATACGCATTCCGAGAGTTTTGCCCCCACTCTCAATCATACGCATTTCGAAAGTATAGAAGATGATTCAGAAAAATTATTGATATATCGAAAAATTTCATTGTTGAAGTAAATATGATTCTAAAAATTTGAGTATGTGAAGATCTCGAGTTAAGACTTCCATAGGAGAGGAGACGGTCAAGGGTAAGATGAGCGACATGCAGTTCTACTCAGTTTGTGACAGAGCGATCATAGGAATGGTTAGGACATCTTGCCAGTGTCTTTTGAGAGGGGTTACGCGTCAACTAGCTTTTTTTGCCTCGAACTCTTGCGAAAAGCATTCACGTCTCAGTATTTCCGGCTGTACAACGGTATTCCATTCTTTCTACAATGACGTTGTAGTAGCAATTCAGAAAGGAGTACGACAAGGGGATCCGATATCACCAAACCTGTTTTCCGCCTGCCTAGAGCACGTCATACGTCGCTGCAACTAGAGTAACTTTGGTGTTAACATCGACTGTGTGCGTCTTATCCATTTGCGGTTTGCCGATGACATCGTGTTAATCACGGACTCTCCAGAACACGCTTCTGAGATGCTGCATCGCCTTTATGAGGAAGGAAGCCACTGTGGTCTCACCATCAATACTTCTAATGGTAAGACCAAAGTGATGCGAAACCAATTCTCAGGCGATATCCCTGTACTTCTTGAAGGAGATGCTATCGAAGACGTTGACGAGTACGTCTACCTCGGGAGCCAGCTTAACATGAGGAACGACTTAACTGGAGAGTAAGCAAGACGTCGCAAGGCTGGATGGGCAGCATTCAACTCCATAAGAAGCGTACTAGAGGACACCGGAAACTGCAAACTTCGAGCAGACCTATTTAATCCAACGGTGTTGCCTGCCATCAGCTACGCGGGAGAAACCTGGGCTCTGACGAAATCACTGTAAAGACATTTAATGTCCACCTAGGCTTCGATTGAACGTCTTCTTTCGGGTCTGACGCTGAGTCGACAACGAGAGCTCAAACTTTATAATTCCGACGTTAGAGCAATGTCGAAAGTTAAAGACGTTCTAGTTCACATCGATGAAGCCAAGCACAGATTTGCCGGACACCTAATGAAAAGAGAGGATGGACGATGGAGCACGGTCACTGTACGATGGTACCCGCGAGAGAAGAAGCGGCCGCATGGCCGTCCTCCTTTACGATGGGCAGATTCTCAAGCTTATCAAAACAACGGGGTGTTTTAGGGTGACTACGCACTGGACAACCAGAGCTCAAGATCGCTAACAATGGAAAAGAAGTTGGGACCCGCGCAAGGGCAATCGCCGTGCTGGTGGTCGGGTCGTCTAAGTAACTAGGTAGGTAAGTATGTGAGCATTTTCGGCTGTCCTCAGCCCTTTTCTGTGTAAACATCCCCATGGTGTGAGAACACCTCCATGGCTAAAGCGAAGAAAACGAAGGTGGACGCTGTGTTAGAGAAGCACGATGGTCGAGAAAGAGAATCTCGTCTTCCAGCCGGCCAAATCACGCCACCGGGCTACTCGAAACATGCGACGGCGCTGTCTTGAAGAAGTCCGGCGAAGTCAGGCCTAGGTAAAAAGTACCTTGACATGCTTTTAAACAATGAGTTGCACTAAGAGAGCAGTTTCCAATTAGAGGTAATGACTAGCCCTATCGCTTTCCGGACAGAAGATGGAGTCCGTCGAGCAGTGGTGGGAAAATAAAATTTGAGAGGTCATCTATTCCCGATGTGGTGTAACTATGGAAGGTGATCGGAGAGCGCTAGATCAGGTGGCTCATCTGATTTCTGAATGCCATGGAGGCTAAAGAGAGTATCTCGAACGTGTGCAGGTGCAGATGGATGAACTTGTCCCAATTTCAGAAATGCAGGTCGGCTTTATGCCAAAAACGTTCGAAACGATTGTTATCTCCATCTAGTGATATAAAAGTCTCGAAAGAAGCATAGGGCCTGGTTTCTGACTTTCCCCAAGCGAGAGAAGATTTTCAATCTCTTTTCGCGACAGCTCCTCCATAGAGCGCTCCGAAAACAAAACATTCCTGAATTCCTCGTCAAGGAATTGCAGAATAGGTTTCAAGACGGTAGCTCCCACTTCTCACGGCCTAGCAGAAGCAGCAGATATCCAGTTGGGGCACAACAAGGGCTGGCTCTGAGCACATTCCTCTTCCTGCTAACAATGGATGTCACCGCAAAAGAACTCATGAAAGGACTACTGAGAACTATCCTTTTCCCTAATGACAGCACTCTTTTAGAGGATTGGGGTCAAAAGGCTAAACACTTTTAGCGTTGATCAATCCCATACGGAAGACATGTCTCCGCATTCGAACCAAACATTCGAAACCATAGTAGCGTATTGAATGCGTTTGTGACCCACATAATGACTTGCGGTGGTCAGATAATGTACAAGTCGGTGCTTTTACTCTTTCGGCCGAGTCTTGCACCAATTGACGATCTCGGAGGGATGGAAGGCTTGATTGGCGTGTATCAGATAAGGATCCCAACCCGTGACCATGCATGTTTGATAGTGCGCCACATGCTAAATACTACATCACCTCCGCCTTTTTAGAGAACAGCAGAGATTTTTAGGAAAAGGTGCAGAAGCAGCAGACTTTCCGACCGGGAATCCGCTCCGGCTAAACGTGAAGAAGATTAGCTCCCTCAACTCTCATTATTGCACAGAACAAATCGTAGTGGAAGTGGAGGCCTTCAAAAAGGTGAAGAGTCTGCGATTAGGAGGTGACCTAGCGGCCGATGGTAGCGTGGATCCTTTACAAGGACCCAACTGAACGCGGCATGGACGAATTGCAGGAATCCTTTGATGTGATTCGCGGCCGACCATACTAATGAATGATCAAACGAAAGGTGTAAGGCAGTATGAGGTGCACGCTGCCCTGTGGTGGCAAGTGCTGGTCCGCAAGTAAAATCCATAAAAGGCATTTTCACCCAGCTGAAATGAGGATGCTCGAATGGATGTGCTATAGGGCACAATCGCACAAAGTCGAAAGACGTGAGAACGTTCACGCAGATCCCCTGTTCAGGTGAAGATCAAAAAACAGCGTTCCGATGGTACGAGCACTTATTGAGATGGTCAAAAATAGTCCTCTAGAAGAGGCAATGGTTTACTAGTATGCACAATGTCAGCGACAACGGGGAGGTTCGAAGAAAGGTGGTCAAGACGACGTGATCGTGAAAGGCCTAACCAAAGCAAAAGTACGGCATATCCTCTATCCTCTGTATATAAAGAACGCTAACTTTGTGTGTTTGTTTGTATGGCCGTGTGCGTCCTTCCGTCCGTTCCACGTAGGTCAGATCTTGATTCACGTGAAATGTCATTTAAGCTTGGCTAAGAAGTACTATAAAATAGGAACCCAATCGTCGCTGTTTATATCGATCCAATAATCAATATCCAGTCTATTTATGAAGTCACAGACTAAAATCACAACTCGCCTCTCACGACGCAGGGCAATCAAAATCTTAGGAAGTAGAGGGGGTAAGTTTGGAACAATTCCACGATCACGTATTAGTGTCAAGAGATCAATACACACAAAGCGGCATCAGATTGTTCAAATTGGGGAATCCCACCTAATTCCTTTACACCAGACGCTCTATTTACCGTCGTGCTACATCCCTATACTATGGACGATTCATCTATCCATTCGCAGCCAACTGAGGGAGGAAAAAATGTTAGGCTCAGTGGGCAAAAAACTTTTTGATAACGAAGGATTTTGACCGGAAATACCTTTGGCATCTAACCCACTTCCTAGGCAAGGCGTGTAATTTTCCATAAAAACATAATCGGAAATCCATAGAAACTCGTAGAAATCTAATCTAATCGAAATTTCTAATTTTGAATTGGAATTTCGCTCACAGATGCGCACTTCAAACAACTATCCACTTCGTAATGTTTCAGTAGCTAGATGAAGGTTTTCCAAATTGGAACTTAGACGAAATCTATACAACAGCTCATCATATGTGATGTGCTTGCGTCTAATTGTTTGTTTATTCGTTCAACTGTACAGAAAATCGGTATTACCTTAGGAAGCGTCTGCACAAGTCGGGTCAAGTTTTGGATGGGTTGGGCATAGTGCAAAATCAAAAGATCACACTTGAGCTCAGCAAAGCACCTCCTTCAAAGGTCCCCGTGGACCTAGAAAGCTCAAATTCATCAAAAAGTACCCGAGGCAGGGTGGGGACACATGTGGTGGGTGGCAGGACCGGACTCCGCTCAAAGTAGACGAGCTTTGCGCGAAATAAATGTTTGAGCGGAAAATAATAACTTCTATCTTAGTGGACCTAGAAAGTTCAGATTTGGTAAGAAAACCCGAGGCAGGGTGGGAACACTACTGGTGGTGGCAGGATCGAGCCACAGGGGGCGGGGTTCGCGCCAAAATTGCCAGTTTAGCCCTAGGGCGTTCTGACTTGGCAGGAGTATAAGCGGTAGGATGGGCACACTTATGGTATGTGTGGGGACCGGACCCCGTCCATAGAAGGCGGGGTGTGCGCGAGTTGGTTCCAGGGCGTTCAAACTTGGTACGAAGACAGGCGTCAGTATTCGAACACTTATGGTGGGTAGTAGAACCAGATCCGCCCACTGGAGGCGGGGTTTGTATGAAATAAATGCCTGAGCGAAAATCCATAACTCTTGATCCCGTGGACTTGGAGAGCAAAATCAATAGGAGTAAAGGGGACAGGATGGGAACACTGACGATAGAGCAGGCCTCAGAGAACAAGATCCAATCACCAATTGGATCCTGGCGCCTTTGTTATCAACGATCTAGCTTTGATTCTTTGATATGTTTCATTCGACAAGAAGGGTAAGTGCACTGATAGGGAACGATTACAAAATTTGGTTCACCTCTTGCTTACGACCGCTACCCAACGAAGCATGCTACTCAATGAAGGATCACAGTTTCTCTCTGCTTTGACATCATTCACGGCAAAACTTATCCGACCGCTAACAATCTTGGGTTCTCATTTTATGATGTATCCGTATAGAAAAGGAGCTTCATTCATAAAAACATTTGATAATGTTATTATTATGACTCGGCAACATTTGTGAGTACCATTAAAGGCTTTGAATGCCTACCAGTTAAATCTTCAATGGGTCATTA